CCCTAGTCACTTATAGATGGGTGGACTTCAACTCCCAGAATTCCCTAAGTCACTTACAGATGGGTGAACTTCAAGTCCCAGAATTCCCTAAGTCACTTACAGATGGGTGAACTTCAAATCCCAGAATTCCCTAAGTCAGTTTCAGATGGGTGAATTTCAAATCCCAGAATTCCCTAAGTCACTTTTAGATGGGTGAACTTCAAATCCCAGAATTCCCTAAGTCACTTATAGATGGGTGAACTTCAAATCCCAGAATTCCCTAAGTCAGTTTCAGATGGGTGGAGTTCAAGTCCTAGAATTCCCTAAGTCAGTTTTAGAGTCCCAGAATTCCCTAAGTCACTTTTAGATGGGTGGACTTCAACTCCCAGAATTCCCTAGTCACTTATAGATGGGTGGACTTCAACTCCCAGAATTCCCTAACCTGGCTAGGGAATTCTGGGAGTTGAAGTCCACCCATCTTAAAGTGGCTAAGGTTGAGAAATACTGGTCTAGAGCCTACACGATCCCCATAACATGCTAAACCGGGTTAGTTTGAACTTGGGTCAGTGCATGGTGTGAATCCAGAACACAGGTTAACCAAGTTAGGCACATCATGCGCACTCAGTCGCTGGGCATAACTGTGAGCAGAGGGCGACTTACCTCGCTTGGAAGAACGGGCATCTTGCCATGAAGTTCCCACCGAATCCGTTCCTGGTTTGGGGTAGAAGCAAAAGAGACAGAAGGAATCAAGGGGTGACTAACCAAGGTTTACAGACAGTCCTTGATTTATAAACACCGCTGTGATTGGACGTTCCAGCAACGCATGCTGGCTGGGGGATTCTGGGAGTTGAAGTCCATAGGTTTTAAAGTAGCCAGGTTTGAAAAAAAAAAAAACGCTCTTAGTCTAATCTGGATTTCTAGCTGTTCTTGATCCTTTATTAGGACGCCCAGCAGTTCCCTTGGATATTTATTAATTTATTAATAAATTACTATTAAATGTAATAATAAATATATTCAATTTAATTTAATTTAATTATTAATTATTTTCTCTGAGTTGTACAGTGGCCTAGAGGTGGAGCTCTCGCCTCACAATCAGAAGGCTGTGAGTTCGATCCTTGGTAGCAGCAGATATTTCTCTCTCTGGGGACAATGAGACTCTCTCTGCTGAACAAAACTCCTCACTGGTGACAGGAAAGGCATCCGGCCAGTAAACAGTCAGCTCCATTCGGTTGCCCCGATTTCACCCTGATGCAAGGGATTACGGGGTCATTAAAAGACAAAAAAATATTATTTTCTCCGCATTAATTATTTCAGTTCAGAAAAGAAACCGAGACCCCCCGAACCAGGAAGATAAATCTTGGATAAATTCCTTGTTTCTCCACCCCACTCATCAGCCCCCAGGAGCTGTTGTGATTCGCTGGCAGCAGGTGCAGATGGCTGAGGTCTCGGAGAGCGAGGACTCAGATGAGGGGCCTGCGTGGGATGCAGGGATGGGGTCAGGACCATCAGGGAGTTTGGAGATTGTGGAGCCTGGCAGCAGTGATGAAGAGGTCCCCGAGGAGCCTGTGCCCAATGCGCATGCGCGCAGGATTGCTCGAAGGAAAGAGCAGCTGCAGCAGCACAGGCGACTCGGGAGTAAGGCTGCAAATTAATGGCCCCTCCCTTAAGAGATAAATGCCAGCTGAGAAACTGGAGTTCTGTGCAGGAAGCAAAGAAGTTTGATACTCGAGCCTGGCGGATGTTAGAATATCTGAGTTGGTATTGGAGACTCTTTGATTTATTGTTTAGGAACTTTATCTGTTGTTTTTGGCAGCCCTGCAAAAACCTGGCAAGGCTCTTTCTTTCTTTCTTTCTTTCTTTCTTTCTTTCTTTCTTTCTTTCTTTCTTTCTTTCTTTCTTTCTTTCTTTCTTCTTTCTTTCTTTCTTTCTTTCTTTCTTTCTTTCTTTCTTTCTTTCTTTCTTTCCTTCCTTCCTTCCTTCCTTCCTTCCTTCCTTCCTTTCTTTCTTTGTTTCTTTCTTTTAATAATTTTTATTCTTTAAAAACCAAAAATACAAAACTCTCATGTACATTAACAGTGTTTGTGTCATTATATATACATGTTTCTCATTTTGTAACTATACATTTCTATCTATATTCTTCACCCGTTCGTACGACCTATCCCATATTGCATAATATTCTTGATCATCCTTCCCTTTTAGTTCCATAGTGAATTTGTCTAGCTCTGCAAGTCCATTATTTTTTGAATTAAAGCCTCATCTGGTGGTATTTTGTCGCTCTTCCAGCTTTGTGCAAAGGTGATCCTTGCTGCCAATAAGATGTATACAATAAGATATCTTTTATCTTTGCTCAAATTCCCTTTAATCATACATAATAGACACGATTCTGGTTCCAATTTCAATCTATAATTTATAATCTTCAAAGAGCCATCTCCGTACCTTCTTCCAATATTTTTTAACCTCTATATATTGCCACCACATATGGAAAAACGTTCCTTTTTTTTTGTTTGCACTTCCAGCATTCCAGTTTTATATTTGGATACATTTTCGCCAGTCTTGCCGGCGCTAAGTGCCATCCACAAAACATTTTATATTGATTTTTGGCTCTTTCTTATTGGAGCGAATTAGTTGGAAGCAGCCTTTTATCTGTGAAGGAACAGGATTCGTAAGTGAAACAGTAAAAGGTCGTGCTGGTACCTTTGTCTTGTGTTTACTCTTGTGGAACCAGGGTTAGAACAGGAGCCTGGCCGGGGGTGGGATTCAAATTTTTTAACAGCCAGTTCTGTGGGCGTGTCTTAGACGGTGGCATGGCTTGGTGGTCATGTGACTGGGTGGACATGGCTTGGTGGTCATGTTATTGGCTGGGCGTGGCCAACTCAATATCCCTCACATCGAGGCATGCAACTTCTCGCCTGGCCTCTCATGACTGTGGGGATGCTGCAACAGTCGTAAGTGTGAAAAACGGTCATAAGTCACTTTTCTCAGGGCCATTGTAACTTTGAATGGTCACTCCACACAAGCAAAGTACCAGCAAAGGAGGGGGAAAAAACTCCAGAGAAGTTCCAGAGACAGGAAGTCTAGTCCTGCCAAGAATGTAATAAGGGTTAACGGAGAGGCAGTTTCTGTAAGCAACACCAGAATGTTTCCTTCCTGCCTTCCTTACAGGATTAGTCCAGTAATTTCTTCTAACAACCGGTTCTCCGAACTGCTTAGGATGTTAACAACCAGTTCTAGCGAATAGGTGCGAACTGGTAGAATGCCACCCCTGAGCCTGGTTGGAGGTGAGACAATGCCCAGAAGGCCTTACCTGTGCAATTGGGCGCTTGGTTCAGGGCAGACGTTCCTGCGATGGGCTTGCCTTCCGGGGTGGAGCACCAGCAATAGCCCGTTTGTTTATGGCACTGGACCTGCGCAGGCAGGAGAGAGAGAATGGATGAGGGGATGTGCCCGGGATACAGGTAAGTCCTCGACTTACGACTATTCGTTTAGCAACTGCTTGACGTTACAACGGCCATAAAAATGTGACTTATGACACATGACCGTTGCAGCATCCTTAAGAGTCCCCTGCTGGTAATCCTCGCCTTACGACAGTTCATTTATTGACCATTCAAAGTTACGATGGCACTGGAGAAATTGACTTGGGGACGTTTTTCACACTTATGACCACGGCAGCGTCCCCATAAGTCAGAATTCAGACAGTCGGCAAGAGAGAGTGACTGAAGGCTAAAACATACGATGAATGGTGGCAGGAACTGGGCATGGTTGGTCTAGAGGAGAGAAGGACCAGGGGAGGCAGGAGAGCATCTTCCAGTATTTGAAGGGAGAGAGAGAGAAAAGAAAGGAAAGGAAAGAAAGAGAAAGAGAAAGGAAGTTCACCCGGTGCCGTAAGCAAGACGCAGAAAGGTCTTCACCTCCAGGAAGGCGCCGTTCTCGCTACATTCAGGCACGTAGGGGGCCTGGGTCTGGCGGCGGGATTTGGCGAGGGCAGCTGCTCGGTCTTCCTGGCAACGAGTCAAATTGGCACCTGTGGAAAGAAATGGGAGGAAGACACAAGTCAAGATCGGACATTGCACCAGGCTGTCTGAACCTTGGGGACTTTGGGGGTGGGGGGTGGGGGGCTTCAACTCCTATAAACAATTTGCTAATCAATCCACACCGCAGCCCGGTTTCACAGCTACAGCCACCTGGGGCCAGTCCCTTGGGACTCTGAAGAACTGCGGTCGTAAGTCAAGGACTACCTATAAGCAATTAGCCAATCGGTCAATCCACACTGCAGGCCGGTTTCATAACTATGGCCACCAGGGGCCAGTCCCTTGGAGGTCTGGAGAATTGCAGTCGTAAGTCGAGGAATATCAATAAGCAATTTGCCAATCAATCAATCAACACCGCAGCCCAGTTTCACAGCTATGGTCACCAGGGGCCAGTCCCTTGGAGGTTTGGACAATTGCAGTCATAAGACAAGGATTATTTATAAGCAGTTTCACAGCTACGGCCACCTGGGAAAAACCAATCTTCCCCAAAATTATCTCCCACTGCTTTCCGCCATCTTCAGACAGGGGCATCTCCCTGCCAGCTTTCCCCCCACCATCCTCCAATCCGCCCCCAGTCCTGGTCTCCTTACTGTTATTATCCCGCCGGGCAGCTCCCCTGCAGCGGAAGCGAGGCCACACCTGCAGGTGGGGATGTTCACACCTGGCTTCCTGGAAGGCGCAGGCCGACCTGTAAAACTTCCCGTCGGAGGCACAGACGGGGCGGCCATTTTGTTGTGGGGGGCACTCGGCTGGGCACGGCAGCTGCTCCTGGTCACCCTCCGAGATGAGGAACTGCAAAAGAGGCAGAGGTGCGTGATTAAAACACAGGTCATCCTCGACTGACGACCACAGTTGAGCCCAGAATTTCGGTGGCTGAGTGAGACGTTTCTTAAGTGAGCTGTCACTTAACCCCATTTAAATCATGAGTCTCGAGCCAAACTCCAAAAGGATTTATTGGGAGTTAAAAGATGCGGCCTTGTCTGGATGTAGCTGTCATGCTCCTGTTGGAATCTGATTCTGAGGGGGAGGTCGAGCAGCTGACAGGGAGTGGGAGTGTGGCTCCAGTGTGGCTCCAGAAGAAGACCCAGGCCCACCCCCTCTTCATCCTAGGGCACGCAGGGAGGAATGGATAAGGGAGCAATGTGGATTACGGGGGAGAAAAGGGCCCCGATTCCCTTCATTAGCTGCAGCTGGGAAAACAGGATAAAGAGAGTGTTTGTGCACAGAACCTTGCTGGAAGCAAAGCGTGCATTGTCTTTGTTTGTCAAGTCCTATCTGGGTTCTGGCATCCTTCCAACTGTGTGTGTTTCGTTATCTTTTGAAGTCTTCAATTCCTTATCCTGTCCTGTCTCATTAATTGCTGCAGCGTGGTTTGTGTTGGTTTTTATTTATAATTTAGATGTACTTTGGGTTCGGACTAAATTTCTTCCCTTTAAAAACTGTTCTTGGGAAAGTTTTTTCTCCAGACGATGATAACTGGACATTGGAGGCTAAATTGGAGGTATTAAAGGGACTTTACCTACTTTTGTGACTTTGTTGCTTTTGTGCCACACCCTTTTGGGTCATCACAGAGAGGTGGTATTTGCTGGTTCTCTGAATTACTCAAAATTTCCACTACCGGTTCTCCATAACAGGTCAGTACCTGTTGAATGCCACCTCTGTGTATACAGTTCCTTCTAGCAACTGATGATGTTACCTACTTTGGGTAATGAAACGTCTACCAAGAAAACAACCAAGTTCAGAGCGCACCAAGAATATTTCTAAATTTAGGACTACCTGTAATTTGTTGTGAGTTGCGAAGTCGTGTCTGACCCATCGCGACCCCATGGACAACATTCCTCCAGGCCTTCCTGTCAGTGGTGGTATTCAATTTTTTTTACTACTAGTTCTGTGGGCGTGACTTGGTGGGCATGGTATGGCTTGGTGGGCATGGCAGGGATCAGATGAGGGCCCTGCATGTGATGCAGGGAGGGGGCCAGGACCCTCAGGGAGTGGAATGCTGCCTTTGGAGATTGTGGAGGCTGGCAGCATTGATGAAGAGGACCCCGAGGAGCCCGTGCCCGCACTGGGCTGCTCGAAGGAAAGAGCAGCTGCAGCAGCACGGGCGACTCGGGAGTAAGGCTGCAAAGTAATGGCCCCTCCCTGAGAGGATAAAAGCCAGCTGAGAAACTGCAGTTCTTTGCAGAAGGCAAAGAAGTTTGATACTTGAGCCTGGTGGACATTAAGAATATCTGAGTTGGTATTTGGAGTCTCTCTGATTTATTGTTTAGTAACTTTATCTGGTGTTCTTGGCAGCCTTGCAAAAACTTGGCAAGGCTCTTTCTTATCGGAGCTAATTAGTTGGAAGCAGCCTTTTATCCGTGAAGGAACGGGATTCGTAAATGAAGCATTAAAAGGTTGTGCTGGTACCTTTGTCTTGTGTTTACTCTCGTGGAACCAGGTTTGGGTCAGAACATTCCCCCCCCCACTAACCTGCTTTCCAGCTCCGTTCTCCTGTGCATGGCAACCAAAGACCCAGCCGATCAGTTGGGACTCAATGGGAGGCAGAAAAAAGATGGGGTTGGCGGGGCCAGTCAGAGGTGGGATTGGTCAGTTCTCCGAACCACTCAAAATGTCCTCTACCGGTTCTCCAGAACCGGTCAGAACTGGCTGAATACCACCTCTGCTTCCTGTCCTCTACCATCCTCCGGAGTAAGCTCAGGTCGACTGCTTCGGTGTCTCCCTCCAGCCACTTCATTCTCTGCCATCCCCTTCTTCTGTTGCCCTCCATCGTTCCCAGCATTCGGCCAAAGTCTTTGAGCTTCATCTTCTGGATCTGGCCTTCTAAAAGAGCAGCCAGGGTGGGTCTCCTCTAGGACTGACCGGCTGGATGGCCTTGCGGTCCAAGGGACTCCTCCTCCAGCCCCAGAGTTCAAAGGCCTCCATTCTTTGGCGCTCAGCCTTCCTTCTGGTCCAACCTTCACAGCCATACATGGCCACTGGGAAAACCATCGCCTTGACTCTACGCCCTTTTGTTGGCAGGGGGGCGTCTCTGCTTTTTAGCATCCTGTCTAGATTTGCCCCAGCTTTCCTCCCCAGGAGCGAGCGTCTTTGGATTTCTTGGCTGCAGTCTCCACCTGCGGGGATCTTGGAGCCCAGGTTTATTTCAGGTGTCATCTCAGTGTGGAAAAAAAACGCCTCTAGGTTGGCCTGGTGAGCGAAAGGCCCCTCCATTTTTCATCCTGGGAGACTCTGAGGGAGCCATGAGACGTCAGACCCCTCGTTCTTTCGGGCTGGGCTCCGTTCCAGGGTCTGCCAATCTCAAATCCCAAAGAACGGCTGCCTTTTTCTCCTCCGACCCGGCCGACGTGCGCCCAGGAGCATATCCAGGGCCCCCCACCAAAGCGGCTTGTGTTATATTTGGAACCCATTTTTATGACCTGCCACGTTTTCCAAGTGCATCTTCTCCCACCAAAACAACTGGCCCTCTCTGGGCTAAAGTAATTAGATAAATTGCCTACTGCAAAAGAAGCCAATATCCCCATCCATAATGGACGCTAATATTTGCGCTAATATTTGTGTTGGGAGGCGGCAGAGATGCGATTTGGCATCCCAGACAGGCTGTTCAGAGGGGGCATCCAGGGCTGTGTGTTGTGTTTGTCAGACGGTTAAGTAGTGGCTTTGCAGGAGGGAAGAGGACACACATAAAATAGGGCGACGGGACGCGGTGTCGTCTTTCAGTCCGGGAGCGAAAGGAAAAAAATCATACTGTGAGTAGACTTGGAGTCTGTTCCAGGATGAGGCACCCCCACCCCCCTCAAATCGCTTAAAATCACTCACATGGATCAGTATGCGTTGCACCTAAAAGCAACCAGGTGGAGTTTGGATCCCACCATTGGAGTGGGGGGGCATCTTGACTTTTTTGACCACCAAAAAGTCAAGAAAAGACACCCCTGAGAAGTTGCAATGAGCATGATGAATGCTGGGTTTATGCTATGGCGAGCTGAGCCGGCTGTGTGAATTTGGGCCATGATCAGGAGACTGGGAGTTCTAGTTCCACCTCAGGTACGAAAGTCAGGTGGAGGACTTTGGGCCAATCGCCAGGAGATGCTGAGTTCTGGTTCCACACTTCAGGTATGAAAGACAGCTAGGTGTCTTTGGGCCATCATCAGGAGGCAGTGAATTCTAGTTCTACTTTAGACATGAAAGCCAGGTGGGTGACTTTGGGTCAATTACCAGGAGTCAGTAAGTTAAAGCTCCACTTTAGCCATGAAAGGCAGCATCTGGGTGACTTTGGGCCAATTACTAGGAGACAGTGAGTTCTAGTCTCACCTTAGCCATGAAAATGTTACTTGGGAGATCCCAAAAAGAAGCAAATGGATATTCCCCCCCCCATAAAGAATGGAATGGCCCTTAAAACAACTTCACATATTGAAGTGAAGGATCCGGTTATACATTTTGAGGTGGGGTAGGGTAGAAGGGGCTCCGGCATCTGCATAAAGATTTGGTTGAAAAAAGGGAAGACAATTGTTTTGCTAAGTTTAAAGATGGATGCATGGATTGCATTTTCATCCCACTTTCATGGTGGTTTATACGTGACTCGAGGTGGTGAACGTACCGAATACACTTTCCTTCTCCTAGTTTTCACACAACAACCCTGTGAGGGGGGTTGGGATGAGAGAAGGACTGACCCATAGTCACTCAGCTTGCTTTCGTGTTTAAGGCAGGACTAGAACTCTCAGCCTTCTGGTGATTGGCCCAAAGTCACCCAGCCAGCTTTCATGCCTAAGGTGGGACTAGAACTCCCTGTCTCCTGGTGATTGGCCCAAAGTCACCCAGTCAGCTTTCATGCCTAAGGTGGGACTAGAACTCCCTGTCTCCTGGCGATTGGCCCAAAGTCACCCAGCCAGCTTTCATGCCTAAGGTGGGACTAGAACTCTCAG